GCTCACAGCAACCTCCAACTCCTGGGCTCAAGCGAGTCTCCTGCCTCAGCCTCCCAAGTAGCTGGGACTACAGGCGCCCGCCAACGCCTGGCCATTTTTTGGTTGCGGCCATCATTGTTTGGTGGGCCCAGGCTGGGGATTCGAACCCACCACCTTAGGTGTACGTGGCCGGCGCCTTAGCCGCTTGAGCTACAGGCACCGAGCCAAGAAAATCTCTTAAGCCTAAGAGTTTGAGGTTGCTATGAGCTGTGATGCGATGGCACTCTACCCAGGGCGACAGCTTGAGACTCTGACTCAAAAAAAAAAAAAAAGAAAGAAAATTATAGAAGGAGAGGTTATGGTACAGTTGGCCCCCCATCTCTGTCATGAGTTTCTCATCATGGGTTTAACCAACCACAGATCAAAAATAATTCTAGAAAAAAAAAAAGGGTGATTATGTCTGTACTGAATATGTACAGACTTTTTGCTTGTCATTATTCCCTAAGCAATACAATGTAACAAGTATTTACGTACCAATTACATTGTATATATTAGGTATTATAAATAACCTAGAGATATGCATAGGTTCTGTGCAAATACTATTTGGCAGAGCTCTTGAACTTCCCTCCCCCATGAATATCAAGGGGTGACTGTACCTAAGACATAGAGTTGAACTGAATTTTTAATTAACTTATACTACAAATTAATTATAATGAGTTTAAATAAAATCAAATATATGTGTAATGTAGCAAATGATGAACTGCATATGTGGGTGGGTTTTTTCCAGGTTCCTCATACCGTGCACCTGCTGTCACCCAGCATGCACCCTATTTTAAGGGTACAGCCGTAGTCAATGGGGAGTTCAAAGACCTAAGCCTTGATGACTTCAAAGGAAAATATTTGGTGCTTTTCTTCTATCCTTTGGATTTGTAAGTGTAATTTTTATGATACTTTCATGTCATTCTTAGAATGAGCACAGGTCCTGCTTCCTCTCTGAAATTGTCTACCTCTTGTTACTCTTTTTGTCAAGGGAAGGATTCTTTATGACCCTTTTTCCTGATGGCCTTGTGATTACAGCTTGCATCTGTAGCTAATTTACATTCGATAAACTTAGAGGGTGGAGTGGTATTCCTTCTGGTAGAGTTGTAAGATGGCTCTGGAGCAGTGGTTTCTTAAGTTAGCCTATAAAGAAGTTCACACTATTCGGGAGGATAAATGAGAAAATCAATGATTATAAAATGAATTTTTCACAAAGATATTTGTTTAAATACAACTTTCTAAACTTAATTTTTATTAAATCATAACCATATACATTTATAGGGCATAATGATGGGGTACAATGTGATGATTTGATATACAATGTGGAATGCTTAAACCAAACTAACATAACCATCACCTCACTTATTTTTGTAAATATAACTTTTTTCTTTTTTCTTTTTCTTTTTTTTTTTTTTT